TAACATGGTCACTTGGGGAACCAAGTGCTGGTTCAAATCCCGGATCTCGCTCTACAAATATTTTCATGTGCGAATCATTTTCATTTATCAACATGATTACCACATACGACGAAGGAAAAAACGTGAGGAGCTTGTCTGAAAGGATCTAGCAAGTTTTCAAAAGACATGTGAATTGTGAAGGCCTCCAACGTGCTGGGCAAGGGTCGTGGACTGTGGTCTGATCTTCCTTGTATTACGGAAAAGTTTTTCCCAGCAGTAGAACGTTATAAAATGACTGAATAATAATACTTCATTATTATAATATTATATTCATCTTCTTTTTAAATATCAATGCAATTCAATTTTAACTGTATATAGAAAAATCATGTCACCATGCAAATTAAGTACAATTAAAACAAAAATTAACTAACACAATTCTAAAGTGTTTCGAGTATTTTTAAATAAACCGTGTCTCAATGGAAACTCGTCCTAGCCTTCGTGTGGGGAATGACTAACAAGTGACAGTTATTGGCACGTCATTTCTTAGTGTCCAATTTAATGCCCTGCTCTAGAAATATAACCCCACTTATATCTGAATATTTGTAATATTCAACCAGTGCGTATGTATGTATGTAAGGAGTATAACAGTTTATATGTATGCATGTGTATGTATTCAGCCCTTATTTAACGTCCCACTGCTGGGGGTGGGCCTCCCTTCAATACGAGTGGGATCAGGCCATAGTCCACCACGCTGGCCAAGTGCGGGTTGGCGGCCTTCACATGTCTTTCGAAAACTTTACTAAGTTCTCACAGACATGCAGGTTTCCTCGCGAATTTTCTTTCACTGTAAGCCAAGTGGTAATCACTAATCATGTTGGAAATGATTCGCACATGAAAATATCAGACGTGCGAGATCCGGGATTTGAACCCGCTTCACTCGGTTTCTCAAGCTAACGCGTTACCACTGGGCTTTCACTGCCACAACAGTTTATATACTGAATAGATACTAATTAGAAACTTTTTACTTGATATATATTTATACGAATAAGGCATGTAATATGTAGGAGCAGAAAATTTTATATTTTATTTAATTTTCTTATTGTTTTGTGTATATTTCTTCGATCAACAATATTACTGTTGATCGAAGACCTATTTGTATGTGGCGAAATACTAAATGAGGTTTTATATGTCATTTTCTTACGTCCGCTTTAAAAACAAGAAAAAAATAGTTTACACTTTATATCATGTTATTTTAATACGTTTCATACGGGTATAAATAATATGCTATGGAAGTCGGTGTTAATTTAACCCATACTCCAAATAGACATATGTCATATATGTATATCCCATCATTTACAACGTTAACACTCAATAGTATTGCTTGTCAGAGGTCAAAGGTTCAATTCAGTTGAAGTAAAAGCAGATGATGGTCTCATTCAGGATATACGAGTATATATGTTGTTACATATGTATATATCATAATAAAACAAGTTTGCAAAAACCCATCAAATATAGTCTCAAAATCAATAAAAAACTTTGAAATCATATAAAGTTTCTTTATCACATTTATTCTGCAATTTCAGTTCAAATAAATATTTATTGTATTCTTCAGCGTTTTTTTATTAAAGAAGTTATTCCCTAATATTAGATGCTATTCTTTATGAAATTGATTCGAAGAAATTTAAGAAAAATGTTGATCTCTATTACGAAACTATTCGATCATTCGTAAAATTATGTAACTTGTTTAATTTTGTTTTATTAAAATTTTATCACCGTGTGAAATCTTTTTCATAAGTTTATATATTGTAACTAGATTGTATCCTATTTAATATTATAATAAATGCGAAAGTTTGGATGGATGTCTGTTAATTAATCATGCCAGAACTGCTTAACAGATCTGAATGAAAGGTACAGAGATCTATCTCTGTGCCAAATTTAGTATATAGTCCGGTAGTGCTATACACAAAGGTTACTTTTTATCCCGGAAAAATGTACAGTGACCGTGGGATAGATTTGTTTTTATTTTTAACTCAGGACGAACCCGAGCGAAGCAAGGGTGAGTTATCAGTACAAAAATATTTATAGATCATTTATTTATAACAGTCTGTTTAGCGGTATCTGATATGGAAGCGATAATCTATAGCGAGGAAAACCTTTCATTTTGTGGTTTTTAATCTATAGTATATAAAAACGTAAAAATAATCATGTTATTTTTGTGTAACTTTGTTTTTGTTTGAAAGAATAACAAATAGAAACTTTTTATAATTGAATTATATTTTTTTATAATTCATAGAGCCGAATACTGCTCGAGTAACGGGTGTGTACCGGAAATTATAGTGTGGGTAGACCTTCCACAAGGTTCAAGGAGGGGCCGACGATTTGTTGAAAGTCCAGGAACTTACTGGGTGTAGATGGCACAAGATCTGTTATCTTGAGGCTTTCGGCTGACATAATGATAATGATTATAATGAATAGCTAAATAAGTATAAACATACTTATTTAACTTTATAATTGCCATTATTTTGAAACTTATTTCGGCCTTATTTTTAACGTCCCACTGCTGGGCACGGGCCTCCCTTTTACTTTGAAGGGGATCAGGCCATAGCCCATCACACTAGCCAAGTGCGGGTTGACGGATTTAACATGTCTTTCGAAAACCTGCTAGGTTCCCTCAGGCATGCAGGTGTTGCCTCACGATGTTTTCCTTCACCGTAAGACAAGTGGTAAATCATGTTAGAAAATGAATCGCACATGAAAATATCAGAGGTGCGAGACCCGGCATTTCATCCCATATTGACACAACTATGAAAATTAAATTAATAATTATAATTGCTATTATTTTCAAACTTACATATAATTATCATCTCACAAATCTTAGATTAACTAATATTTCATCTTACCAAATGTAACAACTAACAAGATTATGAAAACGTGGCGCAAATACCTTCCTATCTTTGAATAGCTTTATTATCCTCGCGTATGGGACGTGAGAAAATACTAATTAGAGAGGGTTGAAGGCTGTGGAACAAAGGTGTGTGATTACTCTAAGATATTATCAAAGCAATCAGCGTTTAATTATGAAAACGTATACAATAACAATAAAGGTTATTAGTTTTACTAAGGTCACTTACAAATATTTATAGTACTAGGGAGTCACCCTCGTTTCGCTTGGGTATGTCCCTACTAACTTTTTAAGGTTTAATATAGATTTCTCAGAGATGAGATATTTTCCCGTAGTAAAAGTTATCCTATATGTTGACTCGGATAACCAGCTATCATCAACCAAATTCATCAAAATCCATCTAGGTAGTGGTTTTCCCGTGATGCGGTGACAGACAGACATTCTAAAAACTATAGAATCGGCGTCTATATCGATATAATGTCTATTTCAATATGATGTTCCAAAAAAATATTTAATTTACAGATTTGGCTTAGTTACAATTTAATTTATGTATAGATTTATTATATGTATAGATACTATGGTGTTATTTTATAATTTGAAATTCTAGCACAATTTATATTAAGTGTAATATGTATGTGAACGTGTAGATATTTTTATTGATTTTATATTTATTATTGACCAGCGATTTACTGTCGCTTCGGTCGGGTGTGCCCCTATTTACTTTTTCAATAGATAAGAATAGTTATTGTATACTCTAGGAGATACACACATGATATCGTGGACTTTTTATTAAAATCGTGAATTCAAGTTTTGATAAGCTTTTAAGGTTTTCGATTTTTACGCTGGTTTTCGGTTTTCTTTTACGTTGTACACGCCTCTGTACCACAGCCTTATAAACTCCGTAGCGCTACAAACTTCTCTATATCTCAGTGAAAGTCCTATGACATTCGATTAAGCCGTTCCAAAGATTACTCCGGACAAACAGAAAGACAGACAGATAGACATACAGACAGACAATAATATTAAAAATGGTTGTTTAGGTTAGGTTAGTTTATATCTGTAGTATCATATGTATATGTAAATAATTCTATGCAATTGGGAAGACATAGTTATTTTAAAATCACAGACACACAGACTCTTCAATCTTATTTATAAGTAAGTATAGATATTAAAATGACAGTACCTACATTTAAAGTACTTATATATTTTATTGATGCATTCGTGCTTCAAATGCTATTTATTCTAGTTAAATGTTATTTTAATAACTTATTAATGGCATTTTTATCGAACTTATTTCTACGTTGATAGAGATTCAATTTTATATTTTGTACTGTACTTTGGCTGTGGGCTGTACCACAGTTTTATATTAAAACTAGCGATTCACCCTCGCTTCGCTCGGTTCGTCCCTAGGTTGATTTCCCATACAAACTTTTACCCCATTTTCACATCATACTTTCCGGGATAAAATAGTATCCTATGTCCTTCCCAGGATCTCAAACTATCTTCTTACTAAATTTCATCTAAATCAGTTCAGTAGATCCAGAGATTACCCCCTACAACGTCACAAACTCAGAAACTCACAATCTTACAAGCTTTACCTCTTTATAATATTATTAGTATAGAAGAGAGTTTTAAAAAACTGGAAAATTAAACAAATTATACAAGTGTCAATTGTTTTATTTCTTTATAATACAATTACAATACTAACTAAGAGTTAACCTACTTCAGTCATTTATGTTCAATCAATATATCTTACTTTAAAATCACAAATTTATCAACCAAAATCATTGGGAATGTATCCATATTACATATATAAAAGCAACACGTAGGAACACTCTGTAATAACCATTCGTGCATATTAAGATTATCTTGTGAATATCTGTTATATAGAAAATAAATTCTTGCAGAAGGGATAGTAAGGTAGCTCTATATACCTTCGTTTTTCAGCATATCGGTGCAAACTTAATATTTACTCGTATAAAATACGTCGAATATTATAATCGACTTAAGTTTTTGGCCTCTAATAAACAGTCGAGTCAGTCCAACGCTACAATCAACTCGAAACATGTCTATAACATGTTCATCAAACTCTTTTGGTAGATCAAATTATTAGGTATCATGATTCATGAAATTCCTTTCGTAGTGGCTCTGCATCAGTTTTGCCTATATTTACGTGTATGGTTATAGCTTCATCGTTTTCAGATTTTAGTATAACATCGTTCCATTGAACTTCAGCTTTCTTACTGTACGCTTCGTTTTCAATGAGAATAGCAGATTTAGTACACAGTGCCTTACTTTGAAACTCTATCAGGGCGCAATAATCGCTTTTCTTAGACTCTGACTTCACATCAGCTATATAACCAAGTTTTCGTCTCATAACTTCAACTTTTACGTGATAGTTGTATATACATACTTTGATGATAAACGCGCTTTTTTGATAGAGCAAAATTATTTTGTATTTGGTTCTACAGCAAGCGGTCTTCTTAAGTTTTGTCTGGAAGTTTTCTATTAGGATTTTGATTTTTTGAGAGTAGACTGCTATGATGTTGTGATTTGATTGGAGATGCGCAGACAGTTCTTCGAAGGGTACTGTGCAACAGGTAGATGTGATTGGGCAAATCATTGTGTCGTATTTGCATTCTTCTTCGTGCTTCGATCTAATAGTTGCTGTTAGAAGTTCGGTGCAGCCTCGTCTGTTGACAAGAAAATTTATTACATTATTTTACATACAATTATTATATTTATATAACTAGCTATCTAGTGAAGTGCTGGTGTATTTTGTCATTGTTTTGTGTGTGTTCGATAGCCAGAGCTAACATTTTTTGTTCTCACAATTGCTTTGATTAAATTACTAGCGACTCACCCTCGCTTCTCTCTGGTTCGTCCCAAGGTTAATTACCCATGCACTTTCATCCCCATTTTCACCCCCTTAAGGGATGATTTCTGAAACAAAAATTGTCCTATGTCCTTCACAGGGTCTTAAACTATCTTCTTACTAAATTTTATCTAAATCGGTTCAGTAGATCCAGAGATTACCCCCTACAACGTCACAAACTCACAAACGTTACCTCTTTATAATATTAGTATAGATTAGAAACATAAACCAGGTTAAATAAAAATTAAAACTAATTTAAAATAAGTATCTATTATTTTATAAAGTAATATATGAAATAGAATTATTTGATCTAAATTAATTTACTAATAAACTTTAGTAGCATACAGATCTCCTTCGAGAATAACAATCGTGTGGATAGTTTCTCACTACGTGACAGGCGAGCGTATAAAACATGACTTTGCCCAGGAGACGACCGACCGCCATTTTATCTATCTAGGTTGTCACGACCGACTTAGTTCTACATTTAATACTGCTCCGCTTTCATTGAATTGTACTAAGAGGAAGTTTGTCGCAAATAACAGGATTGCAAGACAATAGTCAAGACTTTGTTTTAGTTTTGCATTAACATCCCAAAAAACGGTACGAGCAGATACCTATACTAGCAAAAACTAGGCTGCTATTGAGCAGCCTAGCTTGATTCATTAAATGATTTCCCGGAAGGGTTTATCTGCATCTAATGTGTATTATAGCCAGATTGAGATAAAACTGCGTGATTATGATAAGATGTCGTCATCCGATAATCGAACCGTGAGCTTAAAAGCTTCACAGAAAATACCTATTATCTATACTAATATTATAAAGAGGTAAAGTTTGTGAGTTTGTGACGTTGTAGGGGATAATCTCTGAATCTACGGAACCAATTTAGATGAAATTTGGTAAAAAGATAATCTGAGACCCTGGGAAGGATATAGAATACTTTTTATCCCAGAAATCATTCCTAAGGGGTGAAAATAGAAATGAAAGTTTGTATGGAGAACCAAGCTAGGGACGAACCCGAGCGAAGCGAGGGTGAGTCGCTAGTATATAATAAGCCCACCGACCTACAAGAGTTTGTTATTTTCTTTTATTTGTATAAAGGTGTATTTTATATTTGTTAAAAGTGCTTAATTTAGCTGAAAGTGTCAATCTTGAATAATAATTTATATTTATTTGCTTGTGAAGTAGAAGAAGGACTACATTGAGGTACGTTTTATGCCTAAATTTGATTAAATCATTATTCTTTTTAAGAACATGCCAATTTAGATTATTAAAATAAAATTTCTAAATATTGAATGTTCTCTTCAGTTTGTATATATATATATATATATATATATATATATATATATATATATATATATATATATATATTTTAAACATACCTAATATTTTTTAAAAGGAGTTTTGAACTGCAAGGGTTAAATTAAAAGTTTTAAAGCTATATATCAATATTATATATAGCAATGCTAATAAAAATATTTTATAAATATTATAATACATATGTAGATAATAATTACATACATAATTAAAAAAATATATATTTTAATACACACAAAACTGCTTTAATTAGGACCTGGTGTACATAGTGCCAATGAAATCGTTTAACAAACTGCTTTATTGCCTTTTTACGATATATCTTTTCGTATCGGTGGAGATAAAATATAGATTTATAGAGTTGACGGAGGATTGACCTTGAATTCATTTTCGACAGGAACTTTATGTGAGATTTACGACTTACGTAATAAAAATCTACAAAACTACGGTGTTAATACAAAAGTTACAATTGCGTATATACTTGTATAAGAGCTTGAGAAATCTATGAGCGTTGCATGGACCTACTTATCTATACTAATATATATAAGGAGTAAAGTATGTGAGTTTGGAACGTTGTAGGGGGTAATCTCTGGATCTCCAGAACCGATTTAGATGAAATTTGGTAAGAAGATAGTTTGCGACCCTGCGAAGAACATAGGATACTTTTATCCTGGAAACCATCCCTTAAGGCAGTGAAAATAGGGATGAAAGTTTGTATGGAGAATCAAGCTAGGGACGAACCCGAGCTAAGCGAGCGTGAGTCGCTAGTCTTTTACATACTGATAAAAAAAGTCGTTTCCCGCGTCTGTCTGTCCCTATAAAAGCTTAGATATTCTATACTACGCAACGGATTTTAATACGTTTTTCGCTACTACACGCTAACTAAATTTGACTTGACTCATAACTATTTATATCTACTTAAAACGTACCTAGCGACGAACCCGAGCGAAGCGAGGGTGAGCCGCTAGTTATATAATCCACAAAAAGTTGAGATGTTTCGCGCCTAGTTTAATTCGCAATAGTAAAAGTTAATGGCCGAAACAAACTGTTACATATTACAATAATGTTATAGATACGTAAGTTTTTGAGTGATTATATGTGTTGCTTCCATGTTATACCAGTTAAACAGATTTGAATACACATCTTCTATATGAATAAAAATGAATGTTCGTATGTTTATCCTTTACGTGTTTCTAAACCATTGAACCGATTGTGATGAAACTTTGGTGGGTTATTCTGTATACGCCTGCAATTATTCCTGGTGCAAAAAATGTGTTCGGATGGATATCATATATATCATATATGGATAGGAAGCGTTCCTAAACCATTGAAGCTAAGAGTCGCACCCGAACAGAGCGTAAGTCAATAGTTTTAAATAAAATATTTTTTTCTCTCGAGAGTCTCAGTTCCTCCCCTGTTTTCGGAAAGTCGAGATCGGCGGAAAGAAAAAGTCGGGATCGGCGAAAACATCCGAAAAAAAGTTATATTTAAAAAGTCAAACGATCACGTAATACTAAGAAAAGATTCGAATAAAATTCGAAATGGATGTATCTGTGTAGAATTAGAATAAAACATAGTATTTTTTATCGACCTATATGTTGGGACATTCATACACAACCATCTAGTTCCATTGTAAGCTACGAGGCTTCTGTTATGGATACCGGATAGTAATTGATACACTAAACATACCTGTACATAACTTTAAATACATACATATTATAAATATAAACACCCATGACTGGAGCACCAACATTTATGCTCATCACACAAATGAATGCTCCTAGCGGGACTCGAACCCGCGACCGCTGGTACAATAAGTAGGGTCACTACAAACTGAGCCAAACGTGATATACAAACCTGGCGAAGTAGTGAGCAAGAATTAGTTAAGGTGTATTTTATAGAATTTGCACATTTGCATTGTGAGTATACATAATATATGGATTATATGTGTACGTATACCATACAAGCATGTAAGAAGGTTAGCTTGTTTTTGCATCACAACATTCTCATGAGATTGCATCTCTTATGTAGGTACGTAACAACACTCATGTTAAACACACCTTTCAAGAGAATAACATTTAGAACTAGCATTGCCCGCTACTCCGCCCGCGATCAGATGACTAAAAACCAAATTCTTAAGTTTTACAATATAGTATACTCTTACATTGCAGTTTTTGTATTTTTTCTCAGAAATTAGATATTTTCCCATACCAAATTTCATCAAAATCCCTCAAGTGATTTTTCTGTGATGCGGTAACAGACAGACACGCAGACAGACAGACAAAAATTCTAAAAACTATAGATTCGCCCTCTGTATCGTAATAATTTTTATTTCAATAAGATTTTCCAAAAAATATCTAATGAGCATATTAGGCTTAGTTACAATTTTATTATATGTAAAGATTATATATTTGGTAATATTATTTATGTTTTACATCCATATAAAATATACATAAATTCTTATTATTACGAAATCTCCTTAAGACATCAATAATGCAGGTTGTGTTTATATTTTCGTTAATTATTTAAAGGCGAAAACAAAACATAATTATTTTAATATTGGCTTTTTATCACAGTTAAATTTTAAAGAGTAAGACAATTTTTTTACATTCTTTCTCGGTGTATACCGCACTACTCTTTAACTAACTCTTTAAATACATACAAAAAGGCCTTGTGTAACTTTTAAAAAAATATATATAGCAATACCTTCCGACACAAATTGCTCCTTAATTATCAGATTAACTATTATTATGCCTTATATACGTAAGCGATTATATATATATATATATATATAATATATATATATATATATATATATTTAATATTATAATATGTAGATAGGTATATTTATAGTATATGTAATGATATATAGTATGTATACCTAATATGTAAATTATTAATTGTATATCTATCAACATACATATTTATGTATATTTTTTATTTTATTCATGTGTATGTACATATATTACTTATAATTTTACGTTATATTAATTCCACTTTTTTAGACCCGTTATATAACACTATTTCTCGCTTCCATACGTTGGCTGGAATAGATTTCTTCTAGATATAAATCCACCTTTGTCCACATTTGTCCCTTTATTATCTATGTTACATTGTTAATATGCAAGAAAGAATATATAAAATTTACCTATAATTCCGACACGGTAGCATCAGATCATTGACCAGTCTCTGTAAAGCGAGACACGGTGCGGCTGGAGCTCTTAGAGCGCCTCTGCACCAGGCGCACCGTGACATACGTCTAGAACATCTCGCACACCACACACCTCCACACCAAGGACATACACAAGGGCCGCAACACTGGAAATAAGAAAGAAACATTAAAAACATAATAAAATACTCGATAATACGTGATGTAAAGACGAGAAGGTATTAATATTAGTAGCCTCCAGATAAGCTTTGGTGAATTGATTTGATAAGACAAAATAATAAAATTGTACGTCAAAATGGTAATTTTTTCTACATTCTTAATATTTGTAATGAAAAAATAAGTATAGACCTTCAAGATACAGCTCTCTCATTAAGTCGATAGCTATCGATTAAATGAAACGAAATAAACTTTATTCAATTAGACTTATTGCAAGTACTTTTGAATCGTCACTTTAATCAAAGCGGCAGTGTAGTCAGTCCGTAAGGAAGCTACCACCGGCTTGGAATGCAGCTGAGAAGAACCGGTGAGAAACCCAACAGTTGCTCTTTTACATATCGAAGTTACATTTGTTTATCTAATATATTTAAACGAGCAATTCTTGTATATTCATATATATCTCTATATAATCTGAATCTCGGAAACGGCTCCAACCATTTTCATGAAATGTAGTATACAAGGGGTTTCGGAGACGATAAATCGATCTAGATTAGTCTTATGTCTGGGTAAACGTGTGTTTTCGAATTTTCATGCGGTTTTCTTTTGCATTATTCCACGCAAAATATTATGTTCGATAATTTCGCAAGCTCGCATATAAGCATCATGTTCAAGCGGCCAAGGCGCAAGATTGAATAAGTGTCCGGGTTTGAATCCCGGTCGGATACAAAGGTATAATTTAATTTTGTTTTTTTTTTGTATTTATTCAAGTTTTTTGTTTTTTTTTTTAAATAAAATTGTACTTTTGAACAAAAACTCCGAGCGAAGCTCGGTGACCCAGGTACTTTTATGAACATAACAATATAGATAACCCGCATATAAAATAGTTGAGGGTTCTTGAGTTGACCTATAATACCTATTCTGTTTGAAATCGTTCAAATAACAATTTGATTACATTATATTATGGATGGATCGACGAAATATATGACTTTTCTCTAATTTATAAATAGCAGATGAATTCCAAAACTCTTTTTGTTTAATGTTCTTTGAGTTGAATAAGTGTTAGCTATATTATATAAACTCTAATTCGAATTTGGGTTACGTAATAATTTGCCTTGCGTCGTTAATATGAGTGAGTACTGTGTTCCACGGATTTTAATTTAAAAATTATATATACAATTTTTTTAGAAAACCAAGGGATACGACCTCATTTTCACTTTTGTTAAAAATATTATGGCTGATTTTTTATATGCTTTTTGCACAACATTTTTGACTTTAGTTTGGTTGATAACATTTTTTTTAGTTATACGGCAAAAGTTATCTAGTATTTTGTAAATTAATGTTTACTTACTGAAATATTTTATTTATTTATGTACCATAAAATATATGTTAAACAAAATAAAGTAACAGAATGTTGACAAAGGATAACTTATCTCTTTAAGAGATATCTTTCAAAATTATTACTAAATGCACAAAAAAATAAAAGATTAAATATACATATAAGTTCTATTAAAAAAATACGTGATACAATACATGAATTCTGTACGTAACATAATTAACATACAATTACATTTTTGAGGAAGGTCGGTTATGTGAAACATTCAAATGAAGTTACTTATTAAGAGGTGCTCAGCATATTTTATTATTTTTTATAGGGGTATTGCCTTAACTATTGTTTAAACTAACGCAAATTTGAATTATAATTCAAAACAGACCGTCAAGTAAATGAATAAATAATGAAAAATGAAAACAAAAGAAGCTACTTTTTGTTGAGTTATAATATTTAAAACCTGTTATAAGATACTAGTTCTTCTCAGCAACTACTCGTGTGGTAGGTACATTGATAATAAAAAGCCTGTAAAGACCTAGGGCTTAAACCTATCTAGACGCGTTTTAGAACATGTGCAAATGATCCCACCACGTCTCACCATCGCGACTATAGAGTATCTAAGTCCCTAACGTATCTAAACTTTAAAGCTTGATCCCCCTCTAGTGAAAGGAAGCCCGTGTCCAGCAGTAGGACGTTAAAAAGGCTGAATATACATTCACTTAAACCCATTGAACTATACAGCGTGAAAAAGTAACAATTCCATTTTCTCACTCGCATACAAATCGTCGCAATTATAACTGGCGTGTTTATTTAAGTAAACATCTTTGTAAGTACTTGTTATTGTAACTCCAAGACAGTTCAACTGACGACTGACTAATTTTGCTTATTTGTTCCACTTTGGTTAAGACTAAAGCGTGCCGTAACACATAATAATCATGTTTCATTCTAAAACTTAACAAAAAAAAAAGCAGTTATGAGGACTGCCGACAGAAGTGAAAACTTAAAACTATAAAAAAAACAGTTGGTATTTTTGTATATTCAAATTAATTGTTTGATCTTAAATTAATTGTTTGATCTTAAATTAAAATTTGTAATTTATCATGTAATTTACATTTATCTGGTTTTGACATCTATCGGCACTCTGAATGTTAGAGTTAACACGTCACGTGACCATGTCGATGACGACTTCCATGAATTTACTCCCCATACAAACCTACCTATAGAAGTCTTAACTTCCAAAAGTGCTTTACGATATTGTGAATTATTGAAATTTTCTTTATGTGGTACCTCCAATAATTTGTAAAGTACGGTGTTGTTTTATTATGGACGTTTTAAATAATTCTATTTAACTCTATGTATAGCTGTAAATATTACGGTACTTTATTATGAAATTAAATAATATATAAGCAGTTACACTGTAATTATTTTATAACACAATAATCATCGCCCGCTACCTGGTCATGTTATGGGATAATATAGTAAAATTATTTTCTATTAGTCAAAGAATGCTTAGTATCGATTTAATATCCCAGAAATTAGCTCATACATAAAAACGTATTAAAAATCGAATTATTTCATTTATAACGTGGCATTATTTAAACTATAAAACAAAATAGAACTTGACCTGTACGAGAATTAGATTTACTTTTAAAAAAAACATCTTCACAAACTTGATTCGCATTAAAAGCACTAAATTCTAAATCGAAACAACAATCAAAACAAATAGGCGTTGCGAGATTGTACTCTAACTTTTCGCTTAGCGACGTGTTGCTCCCATACTGTAGATTATAATTTATTGGTATAATATGTGACACCTGTTGACTTGCAATAAACTTTAAACGTACAGACTAACTTTATGAAATCGAATTAATTTTATATATGTATATGAATTAGTGAGTGATTATATTAAATACTTCTAAAGTCTAAATAGATTTACGAATTTAATGAAACTCACATATAGATTTGGGAACCTCTACATGACTTTACTCTGTTTTCATATAAGTTGTAGCAAAGCCGATGTCTATGGCTAGTAATAGCAACCATAAAAAAAATGTACTTGCATGCTTAGTTAAAAAGAAGATATTTACACACAAAGGTATAGTTACTTATATTAAACCTCTACAGAAAAGATCAGGTTTTTCACTTATAATTTGCCAGTATTCATAAAAATTACATTACGATCGTCTTGAATTTGATTTAAGTGAATAATTTGGGTTTATAAGAAATATCTCGTAAACATCTATATTTGTGTTTGTTTGTAATGAATATACTAAAAATCCGATGAACCGATTTAGATGTTTTTTAAGGAGATAGTTTGAGACCCTGGGAAGTATATAGAATGGTTTTCATCCCGGAAATTATTCCTTGAGAGGATGAAAAGGGGGATGAAAGTTTGTATGGCAAATCAGTCATTTCTCAACTACAGAATGTAAAACTAATTATACAAACCGATAAGATTATATAAAGAGAATCAAAAATAGTACTAAAATGTAAAGTTATCAATATAAGTTTTGTATAGAATAGTAGTAGTAATATAACATTTTATTCATGGCGATTCCTCTAAATCTGTTTTAGAGCTAACATTTCGATACGCCGTATGTAAATGACGACAAATCTCGTCTCCATAGCCAACACATGTGGAAAATGCCTAATTTACATAAACAATTCAGATTTACTGCTATTTTATGTAGACGTAAAGCTTATGTAATAGTCTTTTAGTGCTTTTATATATTCAATCGTTAACTGAAATGGGTGTTTACACACTATTGTTGTTTTGTTTCAAAATTGGTCATCGTTTTTGTTATTACAACTATACGTATCGTAACTTGTTACGATTTTAGGTTAAAAGGTAGAACTTAATAAAAATATACATATATTATAGAATGTTATGATGTTTAAAAGTTTTGACTCAACCTCAAAATCATTTGTAAAAGTTCCATGGAAAGTAATTTAGTTGTACAAGCATTTAAGGATTTTTGCTTAATATATGTGTTATTGATAGGTATTATCATGTTTTTTATAAAATATTTTTTCAGTCTTAATGTATGTGTGTATTCATCCTTTTTAACGTCCCACTGCTGGGCACGGGCCTCCCTTCAATACGATGGCCAAGTGCGGGTTGACGGACTTCATCTGTATTTCGAAAACGTGCTAAGTTTTCTCAACATGCAGGTTTCCTCACGAATTTTTCCTTAGTTGTCGTAAGACAAGTGGTGATCATATTGGAAATGATTCGCACATGAAAATATAAGAGGTACGAGATCCGAGATTTGAACTCGCTTTACTCGTTTTCTCAAGCTAACGCGTTACCACTGGGCTACCACTGCCTTATGCTTTCATAAAAATAAATATGTATAAAGAATTTAGGGATTACAATACTTGTATGAGCGAGCATTTCATATTCATGAGCTATACCGTTACGGGTTTCAAAAACATACCTACTTGACTACTAGAGCAAATTTCCAACGAAAAATGCTATTTTATTAGCGTTTGAAATTTAAACGGGATTGAATACATATGCAAAATAAGGTAACATCTATATAACTAAATTAAATTGTGTCCGTTTGTAACGTCAAAATAACAAGACTACTAAATACATGTAAAAGTACCTATATACGGTACTTACAAGAAAAACATTTTTAAAATTTTTGTCTGTCTGTCTGTTTGTTCCGGCTAATATCCAAAACAGCTGGATCGATTTTGACAAAGCTTTCACTGGCAGATAACTGATGTTATAAGTAGTAACTTAGGCTACTTTTATTAAAAAAAAAAAGAATTGGCGCACCGCGCTAAAAATTGAAAACCCATGAAATTGTAAACAAAATACGATTCAAATAGGGAAGTATATATTTTTATTTATATAATAATAATATATTATATAATAGAAAATAAAATAATAAAATGACGATTGAATAGTATTATGTAATTTTAACTATAGTTTTTATTATTTTATTGCTGCACTATTTTTATTTGTTTAAAAAGTATCTAGGGACTCGTCCGAGCGAAGCGAGTGTAAATCCCTAGTCTTAACAAAAATCTTCGAAGGCCGTTGGCACAAATTGACGTATATTTTTAGAAAGGAACATTTAATAAATTCCGGGGTTTTAACTACAGGTTTTACGGACGTTTTGTATACAATAATATGTTAATTATACATATATTTATTATTTATCACGACTACGTTTTAATGTTTTGTTTTTGTTATTTCAAAGTAAAACGACAGACACGTAATCCAAAATAATGACTTTAATTTATAGAAGCACAATTTATATCACAATTGTTAAATGAATATTTTCTGAATATATATATTTTTTACTTAAGATATACAATTACATATTTTGGTTAAATAAATATGAGTTTTGCATTATTTTTCCATTTTTATATATAAAAAAAATGTTTAACAAATTACCTGTAAAGGTTCCAAGCAAATACTGCATTCGGAAAACCTAGACAATACTTCATCACAGTTCGGACATGAACATTGTGCTGAATGGGCCTCTGCTGGAGTCTCTAGCGCTGACTCGACTATAGGTAGAGATTTATCTGTAACAAAGAGAAACTAATTAATACTCTGCTAGTAATTCTGCGAACAGTAGACCTAAAGTGCATTTTGAGAAGCTATTCTGCATATAACGCCGAAGATCCTCATCAAATCTTCATCAAATCTTTATGAGACCAACTTAAAGTAACTATCTTTTAAATAAAAAAAAGAACCTGCGAGATCGGATCGCATAAGACGGAGATATCCAGTAGCGTCCCTTTTTTGCCCCTTTTTGCATAAAGTACCCTTCTAATCAAAAATCCCCGAAGACAAAAATCTATAAAGTTGTAAAAACTGTATACCAAGTCCAGTCCAGATCTGTTGTAAAATACAACCTGTAAAGGAGTACCAACAAACTGACAGAGGGAAGCAAATGTCAGACTTGACGCAGAGAAACTTCGCTCGCCTCGCTCGCTCGAACAATTATTTTTATTTTTATTATTTGTATTTATTATGGTATAATTGGAATTTTGTCGTATAAAGCTACAGACAATACATTTAAGAACATGCATATAGGTACTATATATCTATATATAGTACCTATATGCAAAATTAAATGATATTTATAAAAATTTGCTAGCAAATTTTTTTGCAGAAAATATGATTTTGGGAAATGGGCAGACAGGAAGAAGAAGATAACAGATTTTGTTTTTTAGGTCAAGTAGAGCATAAATTAATGATTTAAAATCAAAGAAATTATTTCTGAGACTTTTTAATTATTATTTGATTATTATTAATATAATATATTTAATTAATTATAATTAATATTACTCATAACATTTTATAATTTTTATTAATATTTATAGCCAGTTCATACGTAAGATGTTGCAAATCATGTAAACAATATCCTTATATATTTAATACTAATATGTGCAATAATAATAAACATAATAAATTATTTATTTACTCTGTTAAGATTATAATTTATAAGTAAGTAATGCATAATGTAATATAAGAAACCTGATTATTAATGCTCTTCAATACAATTAAATAAATACGTGTCCTAGCATTTTTTGAAATTTATCCCATAAGGGGGTATAATAGGGGATGGAAGTTTGTATGCAACGCACATTTTTACAGTTTTTTTTGTAATTTTAGCGCGCGCGAAGCCGCGGGTTCTGCTAGTACTTGATATTTTGAAATATAAAGTAACCTATATACACTCTCCAGTCCACAGACTACTGTCTAGAAAGGAAGGAAAAACTTCCCATTTGTAATTCAATCTACGGTTAATTTAATTAAAGCATGAAATGTTAATCATGGATATGAATAAAAACATGGATGAACATGTTATATCGAAAAATTTATATAAATTGTATATACAAATATATTACAACATACAAGTTCGAATATCTGACTCTACTTTATATAAAAATGTGGCGGACTTTGAGCTTCGTGAATCAATTATCGTTAACTGTTGTTTACGTTCATATATTTGTATGAAATCAAACGTAAATGAAGCAAAACCATCGTAATTTATTTATTGTTTCCGTGTTGTTATTTCTTTAAATTCCAATGGTAACGCGTTCTCTTCAAATTCTGGTTTTAAGATTTTCATGTGCAAATTTTGAGAAATACTTTTTTAGTTTTATGCGAATATTTGATTTTTTAAAATAAACTTTCTTTTTCGAATGCTTTACAGCAATCATGGTCTGTCCCGTGACCATGATTGCTGTAAAGCATTGAAAACATCGCAAACCAAAAATCAAAATAAATCCGCGAAAAAATCCGAAAGATAGTTTTATTTTAAAAAATTTTATTTACACTTGCTGAATCAGTGCAGACAAAGGACTACAGCCTTATATGATAAAATATAAGGCTTATTAATATATAATTATTCGCGCTCTTTTTATCTTAGTACTATTTCCTACACTTTAAGACTGCTTGGAACAAATCGCTCTTTTAGCGATAAGGCAGCGTCTTGTAGATTTTCCTATGTTTTGTATATATTTTTTTCTTGTTTTTTATGTATATTATACAAGAGTTTGTTATTATGATTATAATTACTCTAAGTAATTCTATTACGAACGATTCTCGAACGATATATTATGAACTTAGTCTCTCTCGTAACCATAATTGCTCTAAAGTCTAAAGCTTTCGAAACGTGTGAAACCAAAGATCAATCCGATTTCCGAATCAATGTAATTAACAATTTATATTCTTTAAATTAGTTATATACGTAAATCGTAAATAAATTTGAATAAATTCATGTCACCTCACAACGTCTAATTATGGTAGAAAAAAAATTACATCGTTCCTTAATTGTGATTACTGATAATCATCTACAAACTTTACTTTAAGGTAATTTAAGTTTAGTAAATTTTTGTATCAAAGTGAGCATGAGAACAAGATATGAATTGCTAATTGTAAGTTTAAATATGATAACAAATCGATAACATAATAGGCTTTATCAATTAATCACCTAACTAAATTTTAAATTAAATTTAAACTTAATTATTAGTTAATTGATTTCTAATTTTTGCCAAAATGGAAATATGTATAAACATCATTCCAAAAGATATGTACATCAATGTAGTTAATTAGTGAGAATGGGAAAATTATAAGTAAATATTGTATGTTTATCGATGTTTATATATATGACTAGCATTGCCCGCGTTCAGATGACCAAAAATCAAATTCTAAGTTTTTACATATTAGTATACTCTTACATTGCAGTTTTTGTATTTTTTCTCGGAAATGAGATATTTTCCCGCGGTAAAAAGTATCCTATATGTTGACCCGGATAACCAGCTATCATCATACCAAATTTCATCAAAATCCCTCCAGTGGTTTTTCTGTGATGCGGTAACAGACAGACAGACAAAAAATCTAAAAACTATAGATTCGGCCTCTGTATCGATAATAATATTTATTTCAATAAGACTTTCCAAAAAATATTTAATGTACAGATTCGGCTTAGTTACGATTTTATTATATGTATAAATTGTATACTATAGGTATACTTTATTAACTTCTTACAAAGGATATTTATGGCGTATCTTTTTGTATTTAGCCCTTTTTAACATCCTATTGCTGAGCACGGACCTTCCTTCAACAGGGGGATCAGGCAAAGTCGCTGGCCAAGTGAGGGATGACAGATTTCATATCTTTAAAAAAGTACGTATTATGCAAAATATTCCTTTAGTTGTACCTCTTTAAAGCCGATTAAAACAAAGTTCAATGTCGCAACAGCTTAAGTTGGTTACAAAATGAATTGTAAAATGTAACGTAATGATTACATAACTGTGAAAGGTTTCGAGGTCAGTGCAACTTGTTTGCAGACCGAATTGTAGATTTGATAACGAAGAGTTAAGTATAAACTGGACTTAATTTTATATTTAACTAGCTAATATAATATTGTATATAATATCTAAATCCAAAAAATATTATTTTTATGATCTTTGATTATTTTTTTAAGTAAATACATAAATCCTATGGATAAAAAACCTTTTCAATATTTTTCGAATATCTGATATTTTTTGATAAGGTTTCGTCCCTGAAATCCTTCAAGGAACAATTTTGAATATTTTAAAATAAAAATTGGCTAAATCAGTTCAGCCGTTCTCAATTGATGAGCTTACTTACGCACAGATTTTTTTATTTATATAGACTAGCGTCTCACCCTTGCTTCGCTCGGGTTCGTCCTTAGGTACGTTTTAACGGTTTGTGTGGAATAGATAAACTGTATATTATATGATATATAGATTAGCGCATTCAAACTCTGCCTCTTTAATATAATATTAGTATAGATAAGACTAAGCTTAACTATTTCAGTCTAGACAGTACTTTCTGTTCTTATTCTCGTTAGATTAGACTTAATATTATCTTTATGTAACACTAGCGGCTCACCCTCGCTTCACTCGGGTTCATCCCTAGGAAAAAAACATACCTATCCCACGGGAACCGTACATTTTTTCGAGATAAAAAGTCGCCTATGTGTTATTCCAGTCTATAATCTATCTCTGTGCAAAATTTCATCCAGATCCGTTCAGCTGTTCTGGCGTGAAAGAATAACAAACATCCATACATACTCACAAACTTTCACATTTATAATATTAAAATAATACGGATTATCTCATGTATTACAACTTAGCACCTATATCCAACAATCCTACATAAAGCTGTCCTTAGACACTGCAAAAGATATAAATTGAATAAAGAAAATATATTGTTTTGTTATTACTTTTTTGTGTCATACAACTAAGTAAAGAGCTAAAAAATAAGTTTACATAACCGTTATCTCATTTAATGTTGCCAAAACGGTCAAGAATTAAAAAGGGACGTTGAACTCAATAATTCTTTCTACGAGTACTTTTTAACTAAAAATGTCCACTGATTCCAAAATCGCTATAAAAGTAATTCTTATTTTATAAAGTTAATATTAAAAATAATTAGGAGTGCGTGTGAAATATTAACTGTTAAGGTTATTTTAAAAATAAAACTTATTGAATGAGTTAATGAATGAATAAACGAATGAATGAATGAAATCCTACTGTTTCCATTAAACTTATACAAACACTTTTGAATTATCAATATAATTTAAAGAGCGTCAGTGTAGTCAGTCCGTGAAGAAGCTACCACCGGCTCGGAAAGCAGTTCTACTGAGAAGAACTGGCGAGAAATTCAACAGTTGCTCTTTTAAACATTCAGTTATATTTTTTTTACATAGCATTATAGCTAGCCCGCATATGAATCAATATAATATCTAAATTAAACACATTTCCATCAACAAGAAACTCTTGAACAGAGTAATATGCTTTACTCTGCCCTGCTCTAGTCTGCCTTCCTACTTAGTCTCCTCCACTTTGCACGATCTTTAGCATCATCCTGAGTTGGTCTACGAGTATTGGCTCTCATATTCTGCTCCATTACATCCAGCCATCGCTATCTTGGGCGCCCGGGAGGTCTAATTTCAGGGACACATATGTATATCAAGGCACTTTCTTCCGATAAAGTCCTTAGGTTTTTATTTTAAGTTCCGTATCTAATTTCATATATATTT